GGCTAAAACTGGAAATTTAGAAAAAAACGGCAAAAAACGACGCGACACATATATTTAGCGTTACCTACTCTCGTTTCCGCGACAACGCTCCTCCCCGGGACTCGTATCTGAAAAAGTAGGGCCGCGCGCCGGCTGTAAATTTACCGAGTAACGCGAATAAGGTCCGAACGGGAACTTCCGGGGCCCCCGAGGGGGGTAAAACTCGAACATTTTGAAAAAAAAATCGAACATTTTCGTTAAATACGATAAGACGGAAGTGATAGCGAAACGACGAAAAAAAAAAGTGAAAAAAAAAAAAAGATTTAACACGGCCGCCGCAAATTATCGAAAATCCCGGCGGCCGGATTCGAAACCACGACCCTCGAGTCACTTGTCCTAACGCCTAACCTACCTGGCCACCTACTGAGATGAATATCTTAGTCAAATCTATGACTCTTAAGCCGCGTCGCCGTGCTCGCGAAAGGCGAACGCCGTTTGGACGGCCTTCAAAAGGCGTTTGAGCGGGCGATCCGACCGCTTCGGCGAGCGGACCTCCGGATCCGCCGCCCTCTGACGTATAAAACGCGAGATTTGCGAAAAAAATCGAACCTCGAGACGCATGTATTTATGCCTCTATATAGCGATACGTAATCGGTACCTACTCTCGTTTCCGCGACGCCACTACTCCCCGGGGCTCGTTTTTGAAAAAGTAGGGCCGCGCGCCGGCTATAAATTTAGCGGGGAACGCGAATACGTCTCCGACGGGGAGGTCGGACGTCTCGTAGAGGTGCTAAACGCGACTCAAGTTGAGAAAACCGTCGAAACGGCGACGACGTGGCGCTCTCGGCGATCGAATCGTCCGCCGGGGGACTCGTTTTTGAAAAAGTAGGGCCGCGCGCCGACTGTAAATTTACCGAGGAACGCGAATAAGGTCCGAACGGGGAGGTCGATACGCCCTAAAACGCCTAAAACTCGAATTTTCGAAAAAAAACGGCAAAAAACGCGCGCGACGGCGACGCTCGTATCGCACGCGACATCCGCCGCCGCGGGCCCGCCGGGCCAAAAGTAGGGCCGCGCGCCGACTATAAATTTACCGAGGAACGCGAATAAGGTCCGAACGGGGCCGCCCGAGGCCTCCGAGGGGGGTAAAACTCGAAAATTTTGAAAAAAAATCGTGAAAGACGGTCGAAACCGCGAAAAGCGATAAGGAGGAGTGATAACGCAAAGACGGCTCCGCCGCCGCGATTTCCCGCCATTGTTCACTATAGCAGTTCGGATTTAACACATAGGCGGCGCCACTCGTGTTTCTGTTTTATAGATATAGATTGATAAGTCGGTGATATCAAAATTTAAAATCCACGGGTTGCTTGTATTATCAGTCAGCTGTTCTTCATTTTATAGTATTAGATAATTGGCCGCAATTTACGTATGTATATAATATAGCCGGTCCGCAATTTACGTATATGTATATGTTACCGGAAATGTTGACATTTAGAAAATGATGACAATTCCTAGTAAATGTTGACAATTCCTAAAATCGGAAGGAAATGATATCATCGCCTAGTATATGTTATCATTTCCTAACGATAGTAGGCAAAGATGCCATATTTTTTAAATTTAATCTGACTTATTTAAATATTACTTTTATCAAACATAATTATTAATTAATCTACTATCACCTTAATAAATAATCAATAAATAAACAAGTATTTTTTTAACATTTTAACTTATGTAATTTAAGCTTTTTAACATTTTTTACTTTTTGGAACGTAGTTACTCATTTTTATTTTCGCACGGCAAACTTCCATGACATTTAGAATTACAAATTCTAGATGCCGATCTGCAAGCACACCTGTTCGTCTTGCATTTTGTCTTACATTGATATCGGGTATATCCTTGTGTCCCTGAAATACTATTTACAGTAATATTATCTGTAATTGTTTATACTCTGCGATTGCATATCAATTAGATTTATTTGTGCACACGAGTTGTATGCTGAATGCGAAATTGGTTTAGAAACAAGAACTCTATTTTTGGATTAGATGATTTTTAATGACAGTCGGTACAATAATTTTACCCGTGTGTCTCCGTTTCTCATTTAATTTGAGTTCACTAATAATTTGAATTATTAGTTCGATAGTGTCTATACTATATAGAGTACTATAATATAAAGTTGTATTTAATAAATTTATAATAATTATAATTTGTATCGAAACAATATTTATCAATTTTTACAGTAAAATATACATTTTTAATTTCATTTAAAAAAAAAAAAAATTAATAAATGTCATTTTATGCATTTTTTTTTATATATTTTTAGATCATCAAATTCCAGGCCCTAGTGATAACATTGCCTTATAAACTACGGAAAAGATGACAATTCCTAGGCGGTGATAACATTGCCTTCCGCTTTTAGGAATTGTCAATATTTACTAGTGTTACATGCGGCCCTTCAGGGATCTAAAAGCTGGTGTACTTTGATAAATAATAATAGTCAATTAGTATGGTAATCAAATGTATTATATTAAACCAGACAAAATAAGCAGAATAGTAGTGTTGATTGTAGCGAATTGTAGCTCGTTCCGAAATTGATAATCTCCGTGTAAGTTGTGTGTGATGGCTGGGCGGCTAAGCGAGTCGTATGGTGTTCTCGTCTCTGGATACATCTACTCAGGCTGTCTCGCTGTCCCCTATATATAGGGTGGCGGCGTCCTTTGAAGTGAGCGGCGCGTGTACAGTCGTCCCTGATATGGACCTCACGAGTCACGACTATGAAAGTGGTATTCTTAGTCGAAAACACTTTTGGGTGTGGTCGCATTCCTGGTTGTTTTTATGAGCAAATATATGATATTGCGTAATCCCATTACACTAGGAATTGTCTCATTTCCTAAATTGTCAACATTTCCGGTAACATATATAATATACCCGGGCCTCAATTTACATAAAAAATTTGGAACGTGACGCAATTTACAGCGACCCGTATAATGGATGGTATTACATTTGAATTCAATGATATCATTGAATATCATTGAATTCAAATGTAATACCATCCATTATACAGTAACCCACTTGTAACCTACTGTAAAGCAGAGCGACACCCACTTGCCCGCCTTTTTAACAATTGAAGGGGTCCGTGCAAGAACGAGATAACTCCATTTTTATCAAATTCCGTTTTTATACTTCGAAATATAGGTACCTACTACCTATTAAATTCAGTAAAATTCAATTTTTATTTTAAATATGTATAATTTTGATTTAGGTTTTCGATATAATACGAATTTGAATAACCTAAGTATTTAAAAACTTAAATCCATCAATAAAAGTCCTATCTTTATGAAACCTTCAAGGGTCGAAGCAGAAGCGTTCCTAGACCAGTTCCCAATTTTTAGAAGTTTACTAACTCAATGTATTTTTTTTTTTTTATTTTAACTTTTTTTTTATATTGCCTATGATAAATATGGTAAATATCATAAGCTGTCTGTTTGTATTCGTTTTTAAGAAACAATTTATGTTGGTATAATATTGTAATAATCTTGGTGCTTGGTACCTACTATCGTAGTACTAATAGTAGATAAGTGGCTACCAAGTTATTATAGATGCAGGTCGCAGACACTTTATTTGATGTTGAAGTCGTGGATGATGAATAAATAAAAGACAGATGTTATTTATTGTGAATTTTATTTTAACGTTCGATAATTTTCTAAGTCCAAATAATGTTGTACAGAGTGGCGTGAAGGTGCTTGCACTAGTGGATGGTAGTACACGTCTGAAAACAGGTCGTTTCGGGCTCCCTTTTATATGAAGTTCCCCGTACCCCTTGCCTATAGATACAGTATCTCGGCTCACGGATGTGTTTTGTGTGACCATCGTTCCACCCCACGCATTTTATGACTTCCCAGTATAATTCTGCGTATTGGTAAAATGCTAATCTATGATTTATTTGAAATAATCACTCTACTCTTTTATATTTGTTTTATTTGAATATCATTGCGTACAGCGTTGTAATTAAAATAATCATTCTACTATTTTATATTTTATATTTGAACATTGTCGTATACAGGGCTTCCTGAGTAATTATATTATTCAGTGAGCCTGTCTTCGTATGTTAAACAATAGGAAATCCTATTTCCGATTCTAATATCCGATATATGCCGAATTACAGTATAGTATATTAATTATGTACCTGTGGAATTTGTTTTATTTGTTAAGTAGTAACTAGCTGACTACAATATAAATTATTTTCTATTTGGTAAGATTATTACACATAATTTTACAGTATACCTATGCACTGAACTATAACATAGAGATAGGTAATAACAGAATAAAAATCCCCGAACCCATAGTCTGCTGCAGACTACAATATTACTGACAACCACATGTCCACATCGCATTTTTAAAACGTAATTAGTGTATAATTATTACATTACTAATATTTAATTACAAATATATTATTATACCAGTGGCGTATTTATGGGGGTGGCTGAGGGGACTTCAGCCCCCCACCCCGAAATCTAGGATTTGTTTATTAAGTCTACTTATTATGTTCTACTAGTTGTAAAATCGTAAAAGTTCAATATAATTTTATATAGAATTATTATTAACAACGAACAAGTTATTCATATTATAATGTGTCAATGACGATTTTGATCGTAACGATTATATCTTTGAGTTAGGTACATAATGCTTAATTTTGACGTGCGGTACAGCTGCATTATCGTAATTTCGATTTCTTTTATCTAGAATTGAATTACTGATATTATACACGCGTTCTTGTGTTTCAATCACCGTACAAAATTATACGAGCATTACGAGCCCGTATGAGCTAAAAATATTTCCGAGAAGTTGTGACGACGACGGCCGGCTGTTATATTATAGTCGCTCTTATAGATAAATATTGTGTCTGATATATACGACGTTTAGTATCGCACGTAGTACGTACCTACTAACTACTAAGACAGTGGATTGTGACAAGTGTTTTTATTTGTTGGTTAAATAAAATAATAATAATACACCTAAGCATAATGAAAAGAACTCAACAATCATTTTTGCATTTTCATAAAAAATCTAAACAGTCCACCGAATCCGTCGATGAGACAGTTCCATCTACATCGAATGTTTTACAAGATGATGACATTATGGCAACACTTGAAACAGAAAAAACAGCTCCAAGTCCACCAGTTATTTCTCCGGTAATTGAACCTAGTTTAAAATGTTTAGATTCTAAGTTTGATATAGGAGGTTATGTTGAATGTAAGAATAATTTAAGTGACGAAGAGAAAGTTTCAATTTTGCAAAACGTATGGACACCCTGTAATGGGATTACGCAATTCATGTACAACGCTCACAATAACAAGTACTACTTATGTAGAAAGCGGCCTCGTCGACCGCACCCAAAAGTGGTCATAGCTAGAATAGACGCTTCGGATCACAACAACTTCCCAAGGGCGCCTACATGCCACGCGCCGCTCAATTCAAAGGGCGTCGCCTTCGTATATACGTATATATAGAGGCTAGGGCCTCAATACAAATTAGATACTCAATTTCAGTTATTGTTTTACCATGTATTTTAACTTGAACTTTAGTCCATAAATGTTTAGGAAAATCATCAATTAGTTGTATTTTTGAATCTTTAGGATATTCTTTTCCATCTTTTTGCAAATATCTACCATACATATAAAACTTAAATTAGAAATTATAAATTAAGCTTACAAATGTGAGATAATACATAATACAAATTATAAATTAAGCTTAGCTCGAAACAATATTATTATCTTTGTACAAATTATACCTGAGCTGTTTACCGGCAGGCCTTAAATGTACAATATTTCTTCGTTTATTATTACCTGTGTCATCACTAAAAACATATGATCTGGGCGTATTGTATTTATTGATGATTTTACCTGGCTTCCAAGTTTTAGTTAATAAATCTCTAAACATAATTTTTTGGCCCGGTTGAAACTTATTATTATTTTTAACTTTGGCATTTTTATCATAATATAGTTTTGTTTTCACATTTTTATTTTCACGTATTAATTTAAAATTATTTACTAACGTAGGCTGTAGAGCATTGTTTAAGATTGGAATTTTCGATCTTAAAGTGCGACTCATTAAAAGTTGTGCTGGGGAAAACTTAGAGCCAATGATAGCACTGTTTCGATATTCTAACAACATTAATTGATTATCAACTTTACCTTCATCCGATCTTTTAAGTATTGATTTCGCAATACTTACACCTTTCTCCGCAAGTCCGTTAGATTTTTGGTATCTAGGGCTTGACGTAGTTATAACAAATTCACAATCAGTCGCAAAATTCTGAAATTCATTAGAATTAAATGGCATATTATCTGCCACGAGTTGCTTTGGAATCCCATTGTTTGAACTTCCCGCCGCTTTCGGTGCAACATTTGGCAACCGGTCCGCGAGACAGCGCACCGCGCGGCCCGCGGACGCCGGGCTTCAGCCAAATCGCCGCCGGCGACAAAAAGCCGTCTTTGCCGTGTGCTCGTTGCGTGCAGACCTGTCGTGCGTCTTTGCCGCACGCTCCATGCGAGCAGACCGTGATCGATACTATTTTAGCGACAAGTTCGCTGCCATCTTTAGCGACGAGTTCGCTGTCATTTCGCGACGGGTTCGCTGTCATTTCGCGACGAGTTCGCTGTCATTTCGCGACGAGTTCGTGGTCCGTGTAATCCGTGCGTTTATTCATTATTCATTTAGCGACGAGTTCGCTTCCATTGCGACCACCTCGTGGTCGTTATAGATCGTATACCCGCGAAGTTATAAACGTTAGGTACGGTGTGTTAGCCGACGGTCGTGTCCGCCATCGTGCTTGCGTTTCGCTATTATCATCATTCGTCTTCGACGTCGTTCCGATCATCGTCGACCTGTTTTCCGTTGTGCGACTGCTATTCATTGTCGCGTGTTCGCCGCCGACATTCGCGCCCGTTGTTATTACTTCGTGTCGGATCATCAGTTGTCGTCTGATTCCGACGGGCCATAATTCGTGCCGCGACCAGCAAGTCGGATATCGTTCGCCGTTGCTATTACCCTTGTGTGCGTAAGTCCCTCGTGCGACGCCGCCTTCATTGCCGTGATTACGTCACCGTGCGTCTTACAGAATCCTGTCGGAGCCGCCGTCAATAGCCGCCGCCGTCCCCCCGTTCACCTGCGTGTCATCACCATCGTCGCTGCGGCCGCTGCAGTCACCGTCGCCTCCGATACACCACCCCACCGCGGCGCATGTGCCGTACGGTATTTAATTATTATTGTCATTTGTCATTGTCATTTATTATTACCTATTCACACATGTACGTTCGTGTTGCAATAGATACCCATTATTATTATTACCACAACATTGGCGTTCTATTATTTATATCGGTCACCCTATCCACCCCAACTCGTGAACACCATTTTCTTTTATTTAAGTAGTTGCCCGGCCAAATGCTAGTGAATAGCCGGCAGCCCAAACATTTGCTAGCAGAGCGTGGTTATATTAGGTGTTCACGTTTGGTGTGGGTTCGGTAACGTGTGATTGAGACGTTAGTTGTGTTTTCCCTGGGTCTAGAGTGCAGTGCTTATCATAGGTATTCATTTAGCGACGAGTTCGCTGCTGTTTTAGCGACGAGTTCGCTGCCGTTGCGGTCAACCCCGATGCGTTGATATTCGTAGCACTAGCTAAGTCTAAGTTTAGTTCAGGTGAACCGCGTGCCAGTTATTGTAATATCTCCTATATAGGTATTTACAATACAATTATTATTACGCGTAAGCCGCGTCGGTCGCATTTTGATATCACCGACTTATCAATCTAATACTATAAAATGAAGAACAGCTGACTGATAATATAGGGGTCCAATCGAAAGCGAACCCTTGGCGTAAAAAATGAAGCACTGCTCCGTTTCCCCAACCCACCGGCCGTGTCCCGTCGATTCCTTATAGCGCGACCAATCGCGTACCTTCGCAGTGGCGGCGGTCGGTTTTAAAACGTTTTTCGTTATCACCTCTTTTCCTATCATTTCGCCGATTTTCGGAAAATTAGCTGTTTTTACACGATATCTTTTCGCCCTTTTATATACTTAATTCGAAGCCACCGGTGTGCGGTTTATATTCGTGCAATGTCGATCAATAAATACACTCCCGACCGGACTTTTTTGCCGATTTTTTCCTTTTCTCCCTCCGTTTCGTCTATTCGCACAATCGCACCCGTTTGTGTCCGAATCGAGTCTTTTTGAAGCCGTGTATATGCGCTTTTCCCCCAAAATCGGTTCGTTCGATTCGCAATCGCGTTTGGAAATTACGCCGGCGACCGACCAGCCGTACGCGTATATTACATGTATATACGTGTATAATTTAATTTTTAATTATGATTTAATAATTATTAACGGAAAACGCTTTTCACACGCCCCGTTAAATATATATATGGGAGATGCGCGTATTACAAGCGAATTATATGCGATTACATCGATGTACATCGAATATATCGGTTTACGTCGCTCCGTAGTCGCATCATAGGCGCAACTAGGGGGGTGCTTGGGGGTGCTGAAGCACCCCCAAACTTTACTTTAGCACCCCCAGTTAAAAACAGCAAAAATTGAAAAATCATATGAAAAAAATAGTTTTTTTTAGCTTAACTTAATGTTTTTTTTTATTTCTTCGTTTTTAGCAGAAACACAAATTATTGTTTGTAATGATTATAGGTACTTATATCAAATATTAGAATGTAGAATTCTTCAAATTTTTTTGGAAATTTTCTGTTAGAAATTTATAAAAGTTTTTCCTTTCATAGCTAACATTATAAATGTTGATAGAAGACTCCTCACAATTGGTACTATCTTAAATAAAAAAAAAAGTTTACTGGAAAGTAACATACATTTTTTATGAGCGTTTGAATCTAAAATGTGTACAACATTGAACTTTCAATTTTTATCAGTAAATTAACGAAATTTCATCTACCAATTTTTGATATTATATTGTTCTAGTATAGATACTTGAAATTTTTATCAAATGTTAAAATTAAAATTTTCCTTACATGGTAAAATGTTTAAACAATTTTGACTCTTTTTGAGGTATTTATAACTGAGAAATTTTTCAAAATATATTTTTAACTATTTTTCATTTGGCAATTCATAAAATATTTTCTTTTCACAGTTAAGGCCCAAGATTAAAAATGTTAATAAAAGATTTCACATAAGTTTGTTATTACCTATAAAAAAACGTATACTTAAACTTGAATTTTTTATGAGTGTTCGAACTTATAATTGTCACGATATTCGATATTCAGCGGTAAATCTAATTCTCATTAATCGATTTTTTTTTGGATTTTGTTGTATTTACAAAATGAATAACCGTACTCTTGAAATGTTCACCAAATATTTATATTAGCATTTTCCATACATCGAAAATTCTTTAAACACTTTTGAATTTTTATGAACTTTTTATGAGAAAATTTTTCAAATTGAATTCAAATATAACACATCCACTACAACGACATTCTCAACAACTATTGTACAGAAAAGCGGTACCCATTTGACCACATTTTTTTTTATCCATTTATACATCCAGGTTACTATTTTTATCACCTAAATAATATAATATACCTCATGTATTCATCAGGTATATTACTGTTGATTTACTTAAATATTAGTGTCCTTATGTGTTCATGGTGCATTTAGGAATGGTTAAAGTAATTATAAAATCAAAGTATGACGTATGTTATTTTGGGGTGTGGGGGCGTAGCCCCCGCGGGTTCGTGTTCTCTACATAATTTTAGCACCCCCAGTGTTTGGCCTCTAGTTGCGCCTATGAGTCGCATGGCTTAATTGTTGATGTTTTCACTATCTTTCATATCTCAAACTGTGTCCGAGTAGGTTAGGCGTTAGGTAGGAAACACGTAGGTCCCGGGTTCGTATCCGTCGTACGCCGTCCGGGCATTGTAACCGTAAATGCCATATGGTTTACACGGCCGCCCGAATCCGGATTTTTTTTGCATTTTTTTTTCACGTTATTTTTCATATAAATTAAATAATAATATAATAATACAGGAACATATCGTACATTATTATTATTTAAAGTCATTATCATTTTATATCACACAATAAATAGATACATATTATATTTGTTTTATTAGGAATTATTATATAATTGCATATTTTTTAAAATTTCCATGATTGTTATATAAATATAGTTTGTATTTTATTTCGGTTTGCCTATCTAGGTGGCTAACTTGAAAGTTAATCTTGTTTTTGACTTGAGAGTTGTGTAATGGGATTACGCAATCTCATATATTTGCTCATAATAACAACCAGGAATGCGACCACACCCAAAAGTGTTTTCGACTACGAATACCACTTTCATATACGTGAGGTCCATATCAAGGACGACTATACACGCGCCGCTCACTTTCAAAGGACGCCGCCACCATATATATAGGGGACAGCGAGACAGCCAAAGTAGATGTACCAGAGCCGCCAAGACCGAGCGAGCCGTTTAGCCACCAGCCATTTCACACGAC